ACCAATTTATAATACCAATTTTGGCTATGTTTAGGACAGCCGTTGGGAAGTCCTTTTGAACTCTTAAAAGCTTAAATTATGTCAAATATTATAATTCATGAAAAATGTTATAACTTCTCACAAGTTAGTATTTTATCTATTTTATTACAAATCTTAATTGACGCTTCTGCAAGAACTTTTCATTTGAATTTTAATAAAGTTAACACATTATTTTTATTTTATTTATATTTTTCTTTTTATTTACAAAAATAAAACTTCTATAATAATTTTTTTTTAATATAACTTTTATTAAAAACTTCAACCACATCCAACTACCACTTAATCAAAGTCAAGTATTCAATTTTATACATGAATTAGTAGCACACACCTTAATTATGTTCTCCCCGTTGGATTGATACATGTGGATCTTGTACTTGTAAAAGAAACAAAAAATGAAAAAAGGTTTCATGTAATACTATTTAAATTACACAATTTAAACTATTTCATTAAAAAAAAATTGGGTTCAATTTACAAAGAACTTTAATTTTTTACTAGTATTGAAATATTCAGATCAGACTTGGGCAACGTGGCATAAAGAAAAATTGTATCTTGACAACAGGGGTGATTTTGGCATTCTAAGTAAGAACCCCTCACCGTCCTGTTAATCCATCACCAGAGCGCAAGCGCAGCAAAACTTAAAAAACACTTGTTCTTGTTCCATTCCAGTTTCTGGTTGTAAGAGTTTCATTGATTGTTACAGTTAGACGAAGTCCACTCCCATAGAGGATAGATAGACCAGGTCCGTCGCAGCCTGCAGCTTTGCGTACCCAAAGCAGCGCGCTAAATAACTGCTATTTGACTCCAACTCCGAAGTTAGTTCTCTTTGCTTTCATTCTCTTAATCCCATAGCCATCCCCGTTCTTATTTTCAGATATTCCTACCTCTGCTCTAGGGTGTTTAATTAGCTTTGCTTCATAAATCATTTCTTAAATTTTTTTTTTTTATTTCATTTGTCTGCCAGGTAATTTTGCTAATGCTTCGATTAAACCTCCTTAATAACTTACTGTAGATTAATTGATATACTTAATTAATCATCCCCTTCACCAGAGTCCCATAGAATTACAAGAAGTTGGTCAAAGTTTAAATTTTTAGAGATAAAGTTGGTCAAAGTTTAATTTTTTAGAGATGCAAGGGTCAAACTAGGATTCAAGTGTAGGTGAGCTGACTTGGGGTGGAGGGGGAGACAACAACTGGGAAAGTGGGGATGGAAAAAACCCCAGGCTGGTCTGTAATTCTTGCCTACTTTTTGTATGGATTTTTCTTTTTTAAAAACTGGGGGGAGAAGGTAGGGGTACTACTCTCTTTTAATCTAATTCTGGTTTCTGGCAAACTGCTGGATCCTCTTTAATTCTTCTTCTTTGATCAAGCTTTCTTCAGTTTTCAAAGTCTACCTGGTGAATCTCTAGTTGTGCCAATTGCCAACGTTGCATCGTGACAAAGCTATGGGCAGTTCCACTTCATTTAATCCACATATTTTAGTGGACAAGCTGGCTAAGCTCAATAGCTCACAGGCGAGCATAGAGAGTATCCTTTGCCTTTGTGAAATTAACTTCAATATTTACTTCTCTGTTTCTGTATGCTTATGCCTCATGTGTTTAACTTTACGAACGCAAGTCAACTAAGTTTGCTGTTTTCACAACCTTTTCAGGATCATCTATCTTTCATCAAACGTAATTTTGTAATAATAATTCACCATCTGCTTGTCTCGTTACTTCTCAGACATAATTTTATTGCTGTAATAGGTTTATGGTCTAGCTAGTTAACAGTCTCCTTAGAAGCATCTCTTGGATGAATACCATGTCAATTAGATATTTGATCTACATGCCCCTTCTATTAGAAGTTCTGAATAATATTTAGAATTTATAGTTTGCACGTGCTTGCATTCATTTTCTATTTTTTAAACACCTCAAACACCATGTAGCTGTGGCCAATATTTTTTAGTTTTGGCATCTTTTCTGCATTGTGATCCTTAATCATGTTTAGCTTTGTCTCACTGGTGTATTTTCCACATGAATAAAGCAAAACAAGTTGTTGAAACTTGGGACAGGCAATTTCATTGCTCACCACATGAGCAGAGATTGGCCTTTCTCTATCTTGCCAATGATATTTTGCAGAATAGCAGGCGGAAGGGTTCAGAGTTTGTTGGTGAATTTTGGAAGGTCCTTCCAGATGCTCTTCATGATGTCATTAGTAATGGGGATGAGGTTGGACGGAATGCTGCAATGCGATTGGTAAAAATCACCAAACTATCTTGTATCTTTTAAAGTTTTACAAATTTGATTTGACGTTGTTAAGTACAATTAAGAGGGGGGGGGGAAGAGGGCGAGGGGTCATACCAACCAGCTGGTGATGCTTCAATTCAATTTTGGAAGTCATCTTTTTTCCAATAGCATAAAAAAAACTACCTAGCTCATTAATTATATGGTTGTATTCCTAAATATTGCTAATTATGGGATATCATCTGCTCTTGTGACATCGTTCATTTTCTTTCTGGGAATGTCTAATGTAACATAATGAAAGGAAGTTTTGGTTCTTCCAATGGTATGTTCTGTTTAAGCTTAATCTAGTTTTGGCTCTATGATGATAGCGTTGCTTTCATATCTTGTTAAGTCGCTATATGCTTAATGTGTTTGGTTTGGCTTCAGATTTTTTTTTTTTATCAGCATAGGTTTTCACTTCAGATAGCATTGCTTTTATATCTTGTTTTCATTTTTTTTGAAATATTTTGCTTCTGATTTATTGCTATATATGTACACTTTAAATTGTTGTTATTGATGTTACTCTTTCAATTAATTTGGATTGAAACTATTCTGCAATATTGCTTTTGATTGCATCCTTATTGTCTTGCATGCAGATAGGAATATGGGAGGACAGGAAAGTTTTTGGTTCTAGGGGGCAAATTCTTAAGGAAGAGCTTATTGGAAGGCAGTTGGATAATAGTAATAGAAATGGCAAGCACATTGGTTTGAAGCTGGTAAGCTGAAATTTATGCTGGGTGCCTATGTTGTAATTTATATCTTTGTAAATGGTACAAGGACTAATGCATTTCTAATTCATAATCCTCCTAACAGAAGCCGCCTGTTGGAAGTACAGTGGACACAATATTTGCAGGCTATCAAGTTGTCTACGGTGACCAGGTGGACGAAGATGTTGTATTAAGCAAATGTAGGAATGCTATTAGTTGTCTTGAGAAAGTAGCTAAGGACATTGGTTCTGATGTCAATTCAGGTATGCTGCATCAGGCATTGAACTGAAATTGCAAAAATGTAATTGGCATTTTATTAGTTCTTCGTAGGTTGTTAATATATGCAATTGAGATTTTGAAGGAAGCAATGCATGTTGTTTGGGATTGTATTTTGGTTATTTGATTCGGATTTAAATATATAGCTTTGTTAAAGGCTTGTTTAATGCCATTTTCATGCACGCTGCTGGACTTAGGGGTTGCAGACAAGAGAATTATTCCTTATATCTATCTATCATGGTTATGGATTGTCCATTTGGAGCAGTGTGTGATTTGCTTAGCTCTTTTCTTCCATCCCATAGGCTGCTGAATTATGCAGCGTCACTGATGAATTAAATTTGTAAATTTTAACAAGTTCTTTTGCAAGAAAGGTACTGACAAGGAATCAAGGATATGTTGTTGTCAGATGTTTTTAGATGCTATTTGTAAATGTTTTTAATTGTTGCAGATACTACTTTGATGTGTTTAACTGCTGTTCTCACATCTGTACAACCTTTCTCTGATTTTCTTTTGAACAGGACAATTCCATGGATCTGAGCTTATAGAGGAGGTACAAGGACAGCATGCTATTGTAAGAGACTGTATTAAACAACTAACAGCACTGGAATCTTCAAGAGCTAGCCTTGTGGCACATCTTCGAAAAGCTCTCAAGGAAGAGGTTGGTTGGACTATCCTAGTTACAAAAGTATTTTTTGTAGTGATTATGATTGGATGTCAAACTGACTTGCTTTTTTTTATCAGGAGTTCAAGCTGGAACAAGTCCGTAACCAACTTCGGGTGTGTTTCTTTCATCTACCCTGCTTGGGAATTTACTTGGTACAAGATGATAAAGCTATCTATCTATGCATGCATGATTTACAGGATCTACAAAAATTTAACCTTTGCATACCCAACTATATGCAGCTAAGTTTTAGATTCATTTCAAGTTATATGAATAATGTACAGGATTTATCGTTGTCTTCATCTGAGCTTTAGACTTAGATATATATGGACCCATGACTAAGTCATAGTCAAGGATATGCAAATAATGTACAAGATTGGTCATGGTTTTCAAACTCTAGGTTTTCTGCCTTCAAGACGTGTCAGTCATAGTCAAGATTCTGCTAAGTGGTGGTAGATCAATGAGAAGATGTGAGGAGATCTTTGGTAGTATAGCCCTATTACTTACATCCATCCTGAGAGTTTGCATTTTATTTTCCAGGCTGCTCATTCCCGATCAGAACAGGCTGATACCATCTGCAGACTGTTACTAAAAAGTGACAACCACCCATCAGTGGCTGAGCAAAGTTCAAAGGAAGCACGCACATTGATGGCACCTGAAAGCTTTATGGCAGTAGATAAAGAGCAAACAGCCCCTGTCATGTCCTCTGCCCCCATTGAAGAAGATACACGGAAATCTGCAGCTGCTGCAGTGGCAGCAAAGCTAACCGCTTCTACATCATCAGCCCAGATGCTTTCCTATGTTTTCTCCTCCCTGGCATCTGAGGGTGTCATTGGAAATTCCTTGAAAGAATCATTTAGTGATTATCCTTCTGAAAAGAAGTGTAAGCTTGACAGTGACCAGCCTTACATACCATCCCAGAATCCCCAACAACGTTCAGTTCATTCATTTCCACAGTCTGATTCTCAGCAAAATAATGTTACAACCACCAGCCAACAATCAACTCCAAATGGGGTGCCACCTCCCCCATCTTCTTCTTCACCACCACTGCCTCCACTACCACCTGTGGTGCCTTATCCGGTGCCCCCATATGTTCCAACCGCTGGATTAGTAAATGGTTTACCATACAGCTATGATACAACACAGCAGCAGCTGCACCCCTTGCCTGGATTCCCAGCTGTTGGGAGCATTTCCTCCTTTACCACTGCACAAACAAATTCTTATGAAAATTTTCAAGGTTCTGAAGGTTTCTACAACCAGCAGTCATGCATGCCAACGGTTCCAATTTCTAGGCAATAGCTTTAAACTAATGTAGCTCTGAACAGAGATATAGCATTTTTGGGTAACATTTCTCAAGCCTGTCTTCCTTAGGTTATGTGCCTGTTTAGGCTTACACCCTTTGTGTATGGCAAATGCCTGTGTCGGTATATCAATACCTGCTTTAATTTATGGTTTTGAAACTATTAATCACTTTATAGAATTAGAGATAGGGATTGAAATTTTCTTGACAAGTGATTTAAATCTCTCGTTCCGGAATTGCTCCCTTAAAGTTTTGTTAGATAATGCCGTTTTCTGTTCAAGGTATGTATCACTTTGTTCAAGATATATCGCACAAATTTATTGTGAACTCTGATTATTATATCAGTTCTGGAGTTCTTGTATGGAACGGGAAAAAAGAGAAAACGAATCTTAAAGAAGAAGAAGAAGAAGAAGAAGAACGCAGTATGGTGTTGATGAAATGGAAGAATCACGTGAGTATGATTAAAGCAAGCATAAGCATGTTTGCCTTTTGGTTAGACAGCTGAGAAAAAGAAGAGGGCACGGCACAGGCGCACTGTTTAATGCCTAACGCGGGCAGCACGAATTACCACCTTGACTGTGGAGATCTCAAGAGTGCAGCGAAGTGAGTTCCCATGGTTTTTGAGATCAAACTCAGTTTGACATGCTCTGCTTAGGACCAAATCTAACAGCTTACGCACAAAAGGTAGTCAAGTTTGGGGACACAACTAACTTTCAGGTTCATACCTTGTTGGAGGCACGAGGGGTGGCCACTCACTGTCCCTCTACAACAATCTCCAAACCCAAGGTATTTGTGTTTCTTTGTACCCTAATTGTATTTGTATATATCTTTTATCATGTGTTTCTTTGGATCTTATAAAATTTCAATTGCTTCAATCTAGGTTATAGTGTAGGAAAAAAAAAAAAAAACTTAAAGACTCTTAAAAAGCACTTCCATGGATTAAAAATACATAAACTTATGAGTTTGAAAATCTTGAACGAATAACTTAGATAACTTAGTAGTTATTTTTTTTTACTGAAAATAAAAGATTTTGAATTCGAATCGTATTGAAAATAAAAAATTTTGAGTTCGAATCGTATGACATGTGGATAGATAAGGTGGAGTAAAGATGTGAGATGATTACTTTTCATTATGCAACTAAAAAAAAAAAACTCTTACGTCTTGATATTTCTTTGTTATTTTAAATTAAGTAACAATATAGTAACCATAATTGTTACAAGTTAGTCATGAAAAAAATGTAACTCAAAATTTGTATTCTTGTATGTATTGTGTGTATATATATATATATATTATGTTGATTGCATAACGAAATCTAATCTTCTTTCATCCTTTATCCTACCCCACCCATATACTATACGATTTAAATTCATGATCTCTTACTTTTAGCAGAAAAAAATTACTACTAAATTATTTAAATATTGGCTATATATATTTTTTAAACATATATAATTTAAGATAGATATAAAAGTACGTAAATCTCATAATCCAATGATTATAAATCGATTTGTAAAATGCATTCCTTAACTGGAGATGAAATTCAAATCTTTTTATCTCTAACTTGTAACTTTATTAAAAAAATAAAAAGATTATGAAAAATTAAAACATAATAATATTAGAATTAAAATTTTAATTATTATTAAAATATTAAATACATTTATTAAATAACCCACTAGATTGCACCGAGCCTTTCGGGTCAAGTGACAATAGCTACTCATAGTGCATTCCTCCCTCCTTAGGACTGGGGTTCGAACCCAACTCTTGTAAAATCTGTTCAAAAAAAAAAAAAATAACCCACTAGATTTCGTGCGTATTCATGTATTGTTAATGATGATCTAACGTACATTGATCGTAGAAAGTGTCCTAATTATAAATTGAGTTATGGGATATAGACAGCCAGACAGACAGACAGACAGACAGGTGGAAACGAAAACAAAGAAAGAAAGGAACAGACATTCTCAAAAGTGACTATGGAAGGACAGTAGCAGACAAAAGCACCGTCAGATCCCAATTCAGATCCCATACAGGCATCCCTTGTTTTGCTTTCTTTAC